ATACAAAAATTAGCTGGGCGTGGTGGCTTGTGCCTGTAATCTCAGCTGCTTGGGAGGCAGAGGTAGGAGAATTGCTTCAACTGGGACCCTAGAGGTGGAGGTTGCAGTGAGCTGAGATCATGCCACTGCACTCCAGCCTGGGCTACGGAGCAAGACTCCATTTCAAAAAAAAAAAACAAGAAAAGTGACAGAATTGGCCGGGCACAGTGGCTTATGCCTGTAATTCCAGCAGTTTGGGAGGCTGAGGCCGGCGGATCCCGAGGCCAGGAGCTTAAGACCAGCCTGATCAACATGGTGAATCCCCGTCTCTACAAATACAAAAATTAGCTGGTCGTGGTGGTGCATGCCTATAATCCCTGGTACTTGGGAGGCTGAGGCAAGAGAATCATGTGAATCAGAGAGACGGAGGTTGCAGAGAGCTGAGATCATGCCACTACACTCCAGCCTGGGCAACAGAGCAGCGGTGTGAAAAAAAAAAAAAAAGTAGAATTGAGATTCAACCCTGGATGGGCCAGCCCTGCAGCCTGTATCTTAATCCCTGTGTAGCACTGACACATAAGTTCAAGTCTCTGGGCCATGCCTTCCTCTGTTTGGAACCTTTTCCATATATTCACCTGTCTATTTAGCAATAAATCCTACTTGAATTTATTGATAATACCTCAGATCTTAATTGGCATCACTTCTAAAACGGTCAGAAACTTCCATGTCCCAGAAAATGGTGCTGCTCTCCACCCAGTTGTTCAAACCAGAAACCCAGGAGTCATCGTTGTGTCTGCTTTCCCTTACTACTCACAGCCAGTTCATCAACAAGCCATGTTGCTTGTACAGAATCTCTTACATCATCTCCACTGTCACCACTCTAGACTAGGCCACCAGTAGTTGGTTCCATTCTTGTTCTTCGATTTATTCTTCGTAGAACAATGAGAATAATCCTACAATGTAAGATTATGTCACTTCCTAGCTTAAAACTCACCAAGGCCTCCCATTATATGTAGGAACAAATGTACATCACATGAATCCAGGAGACATAGGTTGCAGTGAGCCAAGATGGTGCCACTGCTCTACAGCCTGGGCGATAGTGCGAGACTCCGTCTCAAAAAAAGAAAAAGTAGAAGAAAGGGCAAGAATGTCTGGGCCTGGCTATAGTCTTGGTTTTGAGCAAGACAATAATTGGTAACAAACTTTTTTTTTTTTGAGATGGAGTTTTGCTTTTGTTGCGCAGGCTGGAGTGCAGTGGTGTGATCTTGGCTCACCACAACCTCCGACTCTCAGGTTCAAGCGATTCTTCGAGTAACCGGATTACAGACATGCACTACCACACCCAGCTATTTTTTTATTTTCCGTAGAGACAGGGTTTTTTCTCCATGTTGGTCAGGCTGGTCTCGAACTCCTGATCTCAGGTGATCCACTCGCCTTGGCCTCCCAAAGGGTTGTGATTACAGGTGTAAGCCACTGTATCCTGCCGACAAACTTTAATAAAACAGAATGGGGGAAAGATGTATTGCTCCCTGAACTAAGAAAGTACTTATTGATTAGGTAAAGGGAGGCTTGAGCCTATGGGTGGTGGGGAAGAGGGGATGTGTGCATGATGCACTGAGAGGCTTCTGGGGCTATTGGGTCCTCTGGCCCTGAGCTCAGCTGCCTTCCTGGCCTGTGCTAGATGTCTTTGAGGGGCATGATGGTTGGCAGTTTATAGAACTGTTTCAAAGAAATGGGTGGGTGGGGGTGTGTGTGTGTGTGTGTGTGTGTGTGTGTGTGTGTGTGTTCCTTAGATTAGCCAGTGCAAATTGAATCAGCTCTTTGTAGTTCAATACATTTAGACTGTAGTTCAATACATCTCAGTATTCCGCGCCTAATGCAAACCTTTGTACACGTTTGTTGAGTTAGCGAGTGAGAAAAACTAGGGTTTTGGGTGATTTGAATTGATTTCTTGATTTTTATAACCTTTGAAAATCCAAGCACATTCTGTTTTGTCTTTTTGGTGGCTGTTTTTTTTGTTTTTTTTTTTTTTTTGTTTTTTTTTTTTTTTTTTTTTTTTTTTTTTTTTTTTTTTTGAGACAGAGTCTGGCTCTGATGCCCAGGCTGGAGTGCAGTGGCACCATCTCGGCTCGCTGCAACCTCTGCCTCCCAGGTTCTGATTCTCCTGCCTCAGCTTCCTGAGTAGCTGGAATTACAGGCATGTACCACCCACCATACACAGCTAATTTTTATATTTTGATAGAAATGGAGCTTGACCATGTTGGCCAGGCTAGTCTTGAACTCCTGACCTGAAGTAGTCTACCTGCCTTGGTCTCCCAAAGTCACTGCACCCAGCCCAAGCACATTCTTTGAACATGTGGTAACTCAGCTCTTGCCCTTCAAAATCAGAGTCCAAACTAAAAAAAAAATGGAAAATCTTGGAATTTTAATATTGGGAAGGTATAAAAATCTCTTCAGAATCTGGACAGGCATGGTGGCTAACAGCTGTAATCTCAGCACTTTGGGAGTTGGAGGCGGATGGATCACTTGAGGTCAGGAGTTTGAGACCAGTCTGGCTAACATGGTGAAACCCCATCTCTACTAAAAATGCAAAAATTACTGTATTGTATACAACACAAAAATGCAATGACCTTGGCTCACCACAACCTCCACCTCACAGGTTCAAGGCATTCTCCTGCCTCAGCCTCCCAAGCAGCTGGGATTATAGGTGTCTGCCACCATGGTCTCCAGCCTGGGCAACAGAGGAAGACTGCTCAAAAAAAGAATTTTGAAAAGTAGGAAATATTGCTGGGCATGGTGGCTCATGCCTATAATCCCAGCACTTTGGGAGGATGAGGTGGGTGGATCCCAAGGTCAAGAGATTGAGACCATCTTGGCCAACATGGTAAAACCCTGTCTCTACTAAAAATACAAAAAATTAGCTGGGCATTGTGGCATGTGCCTGTAATCCAGCTACTCGGGAGGCTGAGGCAGGAGAATTGCTTGTACCAGGGAATCGGAGGTTGCAGTGAGCTGAGATCATGCCACTGCACTCCAGCCCGGGCAACAGAGACTCCATCTCAAAAAAAAAAAAAAAAGAAAATAGGAAATATTTAAACATTATTCATACATTCACTTTTTAAATTTTTACTTTTTGAGCCATAGTCTCGCTGTGTCACCCAGGCTGGAGTGCAATGGTACTGTCTTAGCTCACTGCAACCTCCATCTCCCTGGCTTAAGTGATTCTTATGCCTCTGCCTCCCAAGTAGCTGGGATTACAGGTGTGAGCCACCATGCCTGGCTAACTTTTGTATTTTTAGTAGAGATGCAGTTTTGCCACTTTTTTTTCTCTAAATGATGGCTCAACTATGGTTGGACATTAAAATCACCTGTGAAGGCCGGGTGCCATGGCTCATGCCAGTAATCCCTGCACTTTGGGAAGCTGAGGCGGGCAGATCACTTGAGGTCAGGAATTTAATACCAGCTGGCAAGATGATTCGATACCAGCCATCTCTACTAAAAATACAAAAATTAGCCGGGCATGTTGGTGCACTGTAATCCCAGCTACTTGGGAGGCTGAGGCAGGAGAATCGCTTGACCTGGGAGGTGAAGGTTGTAGTGAGCAGAGATTGTGTCAGTGCACTTCAGCCTGGGGGACAGAGCAAGACTCCATCTCAAAAAAAAAAAAAAAAAAAAAAAAATCACCTGGGAAGCTTTTAAAAATACTGACACTGTGCCCCTACCTTATACCAGTTAAATCACAATTGCTGGGGGTAAGGCCCAGGTGGGTTTTTGTTTGTTTGTTTGTTTTTTGTTTGTTTGTTTGTTTTTAATTAACAGTCCAGATGATTTTAAGGTGCAGCCTGCTTTAAGGTAACTGCTCTGGACTGGGTACAGTGGCTCATACCTGTAATCCCAGCCCTTTGGGAGGCAGAGATTGACAGATCAGCTGAGGCCAGGAGTTTGAGACCAGCCTGGCCAACATGGTGAAACCCTGTCTCGCCAACATAGTGAAACCCTGTCTCTACTAAAAATACAAAAAAAAACAAAACAACAATTTAGCTGGGCATGATGGCAGGTGCCTGTAATCCCAGGAGGCAGAGGTTGCAGTGAGCCAAAAGTGAAATTCCATCTCAGAAAAAAAAATTACTACTATGGACATTTGGTACTCAAAGTGTAGTTTGTTGTCACTTGGGACTTTGTTAGAAATGCAGTCTCACTTCCCACCCTTTTCAATCAGAATATGCCTTTTTTTTTTTTTTTTTTTTTTTTT